CAGTTCCCAGTCCTCCTCTGTCCATCCTGGACAGAAACAAGGGGGAGGAAGCCCAGCAGCTGTGACAGGCATATCCTAGGGTGATGCAGCATTTATCAAGAAGGTTCAGATGTCCAGAGTGTCTGTGTTACCGCATGTGTGATTCGTGGGCGTATTTTTACCGTAGGGCAAGAGTAAGCCAAGCCTACATCAGTCCTAATTATATCTGGTGGATCATACAGCCTCTGCAGGTTCTGGAAACTAACAGAGGATTTTAATAGCAAAGTCCAGATGGTCCCTAGAATATCCTGAAGCTTATGTGGCTTGTCTCTTGGTTTGGACAACAGACAGGGCAGTTTTGGTGTGTACAGACTTTTCTCAGAGGGGAGGGTTGAGTTCATTGTCTGTTCTCTGATGCCTCCTATTATTCAGTCCAGCCTCCTGGTACCTCCTTCATTTGGGAGAAGACTGGGGCCTCTGCCCCATCGGGGAACTACTAGTCTCCAGGAACACTGTAATATGTGTGATATAAGAACAAGGAGGCCCCACATTAGCAGATTGTTTGAAGCTGATGACCTGGGAGACAGTGTGGGTCCAACACAGCAAGTGCTGTTCACCAGTCGGAGAAGGATATGCTGTCACTTACTAGAAGGTCCAAACTGAATCCCCCTACTTCATCCCTATCCCAGAGGGTTAGAAGGAATGATATGTAAAATCTCAGGTGTATGGAAATGAAGACCAGATAGATCTTCATGCAGTGTTACAGATGGCCACCTGGGAGATGCAGACAGGGTTGAATCCTAGGAATCCAAAACTTGGACATTTATCATAGCCTGGGCCAGTGCTTTCTTCAGCATAATTGTTGTTTTAAAAGTGGTTTGTCTTCTGTCATTACTTCAAGAGGTTTCCCCCAATCATCTCCATCTCAATTGATTTCTCCCTTTCTTTGCATTTTGGTAACATTTCATAGATAGTTTTGAATGCATTATAGATTGGTTTTAATTTTTTTTCACATGTGTCTGTCTTGGTTCTCATAATGAACTTGTATCATACAGAGGAAAAAGTGTCATTTGTCAGGCAGATTAATAAGATTATGAAGAGACTATTTATCCAGCCTGAGAAAGTAACTACCTGCATTCCGTCTTTACAGAAGTACCATTTCCATGAAAACCATTGAATTTCAGACCTTCTTACTTGGTTGCTTAAGGTACTTTGGCCACACTACTAACCTAGTTTGGGTTTGTGTGTATCCTTGTAAATTACTTAGGGATGTCAATTGAATAGTTTGTAATAGCTCACCATTCCCATTTCTCCAGGATAAATACATACCTTCTTTTTTGAATAATGAGGTCCAGATAAGACAAATAAAAAATACATCATCAAAACAAAGGGATAATTTGTTTGCACCCTTCCCTTGCCCCATCATCATCTTATTCCAGCACGCTGTCTCAAGATGACACCCTTCAGTGAAGGGTGTGGGAGATCTCTAGCTATTGAGAGAGTTTTTAGAAATGGAGCAAGAAGTAGTAGTGGGAATTATGGGCTATACCCAGGCTTCACCCTGGTTTTTTCAGCTCATGGGCTCAGCGTGTTCCCCCTGTTGTGAAAACACAACTTACCTGTAAATGTCTTCATGTGCAGTTTCTTACTGATCCACAAGGTGAGGATGTGGCTCCATAAGTTCTCTGTCTCAGCAAGACTGCCACTCTTCTCTTTGTCCCTCCGCCAGTCTTCTCCCTCTTCCAGTTTGTGGCTTAACTGTTTTATCACTAGTTCCCCAGTTGGTTTATAAACAGCTTGGGTTCTGGAGTTGGGCAGTCCTAGACTTGTCTCACTCAGAGCCTTTTTATCCCCATCTGTGACATGAGGATTAAAGACCCTGGCTCCCGTGGGAAACTGGCCCTCACATGTACTGGTAGGAGTGTAGAGTGATGCCACTCAGCAGAGAGCCACTTGGCAGCAAGTGCCGAAAGCATGTCTGCAGGTACCCTTCGCCTCAGCAGCTCTGCTTCTGCAATTTATGCTGAGGATGTGCCAGCACATACATGTGTGCCTGTTGACTCATCTTAGCATTGTTTGTCCTAGCAAAAAAGACTAGAAATAACCCAAATGTCCACTAATAAGGGACTGGTGAAATAAACTAGCACGTCATTACACCAGAATACCACGCTGGGCAGTAATGAAAAAGAAAGAGGAAGCTCTCTCTGTACAGTAAGTCCTCACTTGATGTCATCAGTAAGTTGCTGGAAAATGTGACTACGCCACTCGAAAGGACATATAACAAAACCAATTTTACCATATTCTAATTGATATAAATGAGTTAAGCTCCTATGGCATATTTCTGGTTATGAAAGCATCACCAAACTTCTAAATAAAGACTAAAGCATTTCTAATATTAAATACCCAAATAAATATGACCATTACCTACATTTATGAAACATGAATAAAAACAAGTGATATGAGCCAAGGGTGGTGGCTCATACCTTTAATCCCAGAACTTTGGGAGACCAAGGAGGGTGGATCACTTGAGGTCAGGAGTTCCAGACCAGCCTGGCCAACATGGTAAAACTCTGTCTCTACTAAAACTATAAAAATTAGCCGGGCACAGTGGTGGGCACCTGTAGTCCCAGCTGCTCAGAAGGCTGAGGCAGGAGAATTGCTTGAACCCGGGAGGTGGAGGTTACAGTGAGCCAAAATCACGCCACTGCCCTCCAGCCAAGGAGACAGAGCAAGACTCTGTTTCAAAAAAAAAAAAATTATCTGGGTGTGGTAGCTCATGCCTGTAATCCCAGCTGCTTGGGAGGCTGAGGCAGGAGAATTGCTTGAACCTGGGAAGCGGAAGTTTTGTGACTTGAGATAGCACCACTATACTCCAGCCTGGGTAACAGAGCAAGACTCCATCTCGGAAAAAAAAAAAAAGAGAAGACATGGGACCAAATGATGTTACTCAAGGACAGTCTGTATTGCTAAGGAATGATCCCCTAGATATTTCATATAGACAAAAGCAAGGTTCTGAACAGTATGTCCCATATAGTTGGTTACTTTTACGAATAAAAAGTGAAGGAAGAATGAAAAGAGATACTTGCATCAGGAGACAAGTCATATACAAAACTAGTAAGGCTGGTTCCTTGTTTTTGTGGGAGTATCTAGTAGTAAGTATTTTGTTTGCTTTATATTTAAAAATGGGCTGGTTTTTCTCCTGTTTGTCTCCTTTGTCGCTTCCTTGTAAGGTGACCTGTTAAACTGATTCTGTCGACGCCTCCCCATGACACTAATGACAGTAGCCAACACTCAGTGTCCATACCATGCCAGGCACTGTCATAGATCCTTTGCCTGCACTGGCTCATTTTAGCAAAGGAATGAGACACACGGGCGGCGAGAGACTTATATCTGTTGTGCATTTTACATTTGAGCTGTATATTACCTGTCAAAACTAATTGTTTTTCTGATTAGTTCCTGCCCCACCTGGTGGTTGTGGGAATTAGATGAGGGTCCATGCGAAGGGCAGGCTCTCCTTCAGGGTCACCTCTGCATCAGGCTGAAGCCTGGCATGCCTCCTGTCAGGCAGGGTAGGGATGGGCCTTTTTGGATTCCAGTGTGAGGCAGCCCATCCTGGTGGTATTTCCCACCTACCCAGCTGAGTAGGCTGAGACCATAGCCACAGCCTCTTCCCGCTTTGCAGGCTCTCCACCAGCATCTCCTCTTACCATCTCTTTGCCTCCTGTTTCTGAGGAAACAAGGCCATTTCTGCCCATGTTTAAGCTTTGAGGTTGGCCCAGTGCCCCCCAGGTGGCTGCTGACATCCTAGGCGTTCATGGTTCCCTTACCTCCCCTTCCATGTCCTCCCTGCACTGGTCTTCCTCCTGTTGGCTTTTTGGCCCCCAGCCCCATCCCGCTAGGGCTCCCAGCACCAGGTGTTGCTGACAAGTCTAGGCTGAGGGTGGTGTTCCTCCCTTGTTCCTGAACCTCTTTGTATTGGAATGGTTTGCAGATTCAGCTCCCAAATCATCCCTCCCTGAGTGCTGGGCCTATGCTCCCCCGCCTGCCTGCCTGCTGCCTGGCTCTCGCTGTTATGTGTGCACATGTTGTGTTACACCTGCCCTACCACTGTTACCCACTGAGCTTTCCACAGCTTCCCTCCGTCACCAGGTCAGCATAACCCAGGCCAGCCTGAGGAGAGTTGCTGATCTTTGTGGTCACTGGCCATCCTTGGAACAAGAATCCCCCACCTGTTCCACAGCCCGGGTGTTGTTTCTGTGCTTTGAGAGGGTCCTAGCCTGGGAAACATGGTGAAACCACCGTGTCTCTACAAAAAAATACAAAAATTAGCCAGGTGTGGTGGCATGTGCTTGTAGTCCCAGCTACTCAGGAGGCTGAGGTGGGAGGATCACCTGAGTCCAGGGAGGTCGAGGCTGCAGTGAGCTGAGATCCCGCTACTGTACTCCAGCCTGGGTGACAGAGTGAGACCCTGTCTCAGAAAAAAAGAAAAAAAAAGTCCGGCCTCCTCTGCCAGGCAGAGCCAAGCATCTTTAGGGGCGTTCTTCCAGTGCTCAGCCAAGGCCCGGGCATGCTCTGACTTGCTGTTCTCTGATAGAACAGGCCTGAGTTGCTTGCTGAAGAGACCGTTGCAACAACAGAACCACTGTGGGCCTGTGTGCAGGGAGGGCCCCACAAGGCCTCTTACCCGGTGGGGTTGGGCTAAAAGGGTGAAAAGGTGACTTAGGCAGGACCGAAGCCTTGATTGGACTCCAGACCTGTGTTAACCCTTCTGGGTGCCTGCTGGTGGGGATGGCACCATCCACCATGAAAACAGAGGGAAAGTGGTGTACTCCTGCGTCCCTTTTGGAAAGGTCTGGGGCCAGGGAAAAGCCAGAGCTCAGTGCTCCTCTGAGGAAGTAGCCACCATTTGTTTCCTTTTTTCTTTGGCCAAAAATATGTTTGCCTTAATTGTTAAAGAGCAGGGTTTCCTGTACAGAGACATGGAAGATTTATATTTTTGTCTCCCCTCCCCTGTTTTGTAGGAAGCTGAAGTCTTCAGCAGAACCCTGACCTAGGGAGTCTCAATGGCCCTGGGTGAAGAAAAGGCAGAAGTGGAAGCATCTGAAGGCACAGGCTGTGGGGAGCAGGAGGTGGACACCCCAGGGCCCATGAGTGGGGAGCAGCCCCCACACCTGGAAGCTGAGGGAGGGCTCATCTCCCCTGTATGGGGGGCAGAGGGGATACCTGCTCCTGCTTGCTGGGTCGGGACTGACCCTGGCAGCCCCTCTAGAGCCCACCAGCCACAGGCCCGTGACACCAGCAGAGAGCCCATAGCTGAGAGGCCTGAGCCCGCACATGGTAGTCTGCCTCCTGCCACCATGGGGTCTGGAAACCTTCTGCTCCCTGGGGAAAGACAGGTATGTACTAAGGCAAGACTGTACATGGACCCGTCTTGCTGTACTTTGGGAGTTAGTTCCAGCGTTTCTTCGCCATCTTGCATCCTTTCCCGGCCACTGTGGGTGAGGAATTGGAGGGCCCTGAATATGATGATTTCTGTTTTGCGGCTTCACCTGGAGAGCTGGGCCTCAGGACCAGCCGGGGCCACTGTCCATGGCATCTTATATTCCTCAAGAGTGACTGGTGACTTTTTGAGGACCAGGGATTGTACAGCCAAGAGGCTGTTGTTCAGACGGCTAGGCAGCGGAATTCTGGCACAGGGAACCCTGTCCTGTTTCTGACTTGGTGATCTGAAGGCTTTAGGGGTACCCTGAGGATACTTGGGAAAAGAAGGTCCAGTGCTTCGGGCTCTTGGGGACTCGGATCCTAAATCCTCTTCATACCCAAGGGATGTGTCCAAATCTTGGAGCCCTGTGGTAGGCAGCAGGGTCCCTGGTTAAGGAGAATTCCTTGGGCTTCTCTGACTACCAGGCAGCTTCTCCTAGTGGGAGTCATATGGCAGGGAAGCCTACTGGATTCTGTGACCACAAGCAAATCACCAGCTCTTTCAGGCCCTCAGTATCATTGGGAGATGACCTGAATGATCTGTTCTGCCCAGCTCTTACATTTTTTTATGTTCTGCTTTCCAAGGTCTTTGCTGGGAATGGCTTTGATCTTCTCCATGTCATTGTGGCTTCGGCTGCTGCAGGGTCCTTTTGTGGAGCTGCATCCTGTGAGGAGGCTCTGAGCGGGACTTAGGGAGAACAGAGGCTGGGCCCCACCTGCCTGGGAGCAAGAGGCAGTGGGAGGCTCTGGCACCTGTGAGTCAGAGATTAGGTGAGACAGGAAGAGAATAATAGACATAGAAGTGGCCTTTCATGAGGATGAGTCTGGTGCTTATTATTAGAATTCCTGTTACTTGTTAAGCTCTTACCATGCATTTTTCATACATGAGTGTATTTAATCCTTACTTTCTGAGGAACTGGTGCTGTGAGGGGAGGAAAGTGAGGCTCGAAGTCTTACATCTGGAAGGGGGCAGAGTTAGAGGTTGGCCTCAGGTCTGTCTGGCTCCCTCAGGTCTGTCCGTCACCACTGTGCTCTCCTGCTTCCCTCGGGGGTGAGTTCTTCATCAAGCAGATAAAAAATTCAGTGAAGAAGCTGAAGTGAACGAGTCATTCTGCTGTATGAACTGAGCAGGATGGGGCCTGGGGGGACCTCCTGGGTTTGGACGTGTCCTGTTAGCAACAGAGTGATTGAGGGTTTCGTCTGCCAGGAGACGCTTCTCAGAGGTAAGGGACTGTATTTCAGCTTCAGTGTGACAGAGCCATCCGAGTTCTGCTTGCTCACACCCTGGGTATCTGCGGAGGAAAAACCTTGGAGAGGACTGGAGACGGGGGTCACCTTGCTTCCCAGACAGGCAGGGTCTCGGTGCTGCTGCTGGCAGTGCACACTGTCTGGTTCTTGCCTCAGGCAGCAGACTTTTTATTTTAAGGTCTTTCCTAAATATTGTCTAGACCCACAAGGAAACTCCCGGGTTGCTATCTCAGAAAGAAATCAGGTTTGGTTATTTTCACCCAAGTGCTTTTAGTGCCTTTGATCATTGCAGGTGGAGAAGACCAAGCTTTCTGCCTCCAAAGAGCTCCCTCAGACTCTGAGCCTTCCCAGAACGACAGCTATTTGCTCAGGACATGATGCTGATACTGAAGATGATCCATCCCCAGTGGATTCGCCCCAGGCACTGGACCTCAGCCAGCAGCCTCACGGCTCAGGCCTCTCTCGCCTGTCGCAGTGGAAGTCTGTGCTGAGCCCAGGTTCCACTACACCTCAGCCTTCCAGTTGCAGTGTCTCTGCCTCCTCCACGGAAAGCAGTCTCCAGGGTCAGCAAGAGAAGGCAGAGCCTCGTGGTGGTTGTCTGGCCAATGTCTCCTCCTCCCTGGAACTGGTTGTCCCCCAGGAACCCTCCTCTATGGTGGGGCTAGGACGTCGGCCCCAGTGGTCACCACAGCCTGTGTTCTCTGGGGGTGATGCTCCTGGGCTAAGCAGGAGACACCTCTCTTTCCAGGCTGAGTACTGGGCCTGTGTGCTGCCAGATTCCCTGCCTCCATCACCCGACCGACACTCTCCTCTCTGGAACCCAAATAAAGAGTATGAAGATTTGCTTGACTATACTTACCCACTGAGGCCCAGGCCTCAGCTCCCAAAGCACCTTGATAGCCGTGTGCTGGCTGACCCTGTCCTGCAGGACTCAGGGGTAGACCTGGATAGCTTCTCTGTCTCTCCAGCAAGCACCCTCAAATCACCTACTAATGTCTCCCCCAACTGCCCACCAGCAGAGGCCACTGCCCTGCCATTTTCTGGGCCCAGAGAGCCAAGCCTTAAGCGGTGGCCCTCTGGTATACCCCAGAAACAAGGTGGCATGGGCTTGTCATCGTTGAGCCAACTTGCATCTACCCCCAGAGCCCCAGGCAGTAGGGATGCTTCTTGGGAGCGCAGAGAGCCAGCCCTGAGGGGCACAAAGGACTGGTTGCCTGTGGGCAAGCACCTTGATACAGCCTCTCCTCACCTAAGGACACGGGACAGAGGGTGGCCCTCGCCCAGACTAGAGAGGGAGAAGAGGACCAGCCAGAGTGCCCAGCGCCCTACCTGCACAGAGTCTAGGTGGAAATCAGAAGAGGAAGGGGAAAGTGACGATGAGTATCTTGCCCTGCCTGCTCGGCTGACACAGGTTTCTAGCCTGGTTTCGTATCTAGACTCCATTTCTACCTTGGTTACCCTGCCCACTGGGGATACCAAGGGGCGGAGTCCCCTGGAAGTGTCAGACAGTGATGGGCCAACTTCCCTCCCTTCAAGCTCCAGCCAAAGCCAGCTTCCCCCTGGAGCTGCCCTCCGAGGGTCTGGGGATCCTGAAGGCCAGAACTCCTGTTTCCTGCCCTCCTTCATTCGTGCCCGGGACTCTGCAAGGGAAGGCAGTCTGGGAAGCAGCCAGGCCCTCAGGGTCTCCTCTGGACTGCTGAAAACACGCCCCTCCTTGCCAGCTAGGTTGGACCGGTGGCCGTTCTCAGACTCAGAAGCTGAAGGGCAGCTTCCCAGGAAAGGAGAACAGGGAAAAGAATCACTGGTGCAATGTGTAAAGGTAACGATGCTCAACATTAGGAGTCTTTGTGTACAGGTGTCTTGTCTCTTCCCCCAGTCCACTAACATCATAAAACGTGTTAGTGTTGACCAGGCACTTTCTGTGTGCCAGGCATTGTGCTGTACCTTGTCTTAGTCCTCACGACTCTTACCAGGTAAGCACTGTTCTCATTTTACCATTTGGAGAAAAGAGCAGAGAGAGGTTAGGTAACATGCCCTCTTATAATTAGCAAGGGCTTGAGCCAGGAATCAGACCCAGGTAGACTGTGTGCAGAGACTGAGTTGTTTTTTTTTTTTTTTTGAGACAGTCTTGCTTGTCACCCAGGCTAGAGTACAATGGCACTGTCTCGGCTCACTGCAACCTCCACCTCCTGGGTTCAAGCAATTCTCTTGCCTCCTGAATAGCTGGGACAACAGGTGCACGCCACCACACCAGGCTAATTTTTTTATTTTTAGTCAAGACAAGGTTTCACTATGTTGGCCAGGCTAGTCTCAAACTCCTGACCTCGTGATCCACCCGCATCAGCCTCCCAAAGTGCTGGGATTACAGGCATGAGCCACTACACCTGGCCAGAGGCTGAGCTCTTAACCACTACCCTTAGCTGCTTCCTAACTCAAGTATTCTGAGCAAAAAGGGTTCTGTGCACAGATGCCTTTAGGAAACACTGGGCTAAACAAAGGTAACTGGCTCTCTTGACTGCAGGACTGCTCGGAGCTTCCTTTGCCAAAGTGGTGTTAAGTACAAAGTTAGGGGCATTAGATGTACTGTTTCCTAGACATGGTGGCCATTGGACCTTTTGTGGACCAAATATCTTAACTGGAAGCATAATGAACACTGCGTGGAATAGGGGTATCGGGATCAGGCATCTGCAACATGGCCCTGCTGTCTTTGGAATGTTGGCTCAGTGTCTTCAGTTTGCTTGTTTGTAAAATGTGGAGCCTTGCCTTCTTGGGATGTTGTGTGCATTCAGTAATTCATGTTGAGGGCTTCATGCACTCCCAGACACATGCTGAAGGTTCAAAAATGTGCCTGTCCAGGAACGTGTCCTAGCGCTCAAGAAAGGCTTTCACCTTCCCGGGAGGTGATGTGGGTTATTTTGTCTTGTGAAGTAGGTACTACACGTTATTACGGGCCCTTCTTTACTGATAAAAGATTGAGATACTGTGAGGTAAAGTTGTTCTTGCTATAGTTTCAGGTTAGTCATGATTTTAGTCATATATTTTACATTCACTTTTCCAAAGAAACATGGATGTATCTGGCTCCGATGCTGATTATAGTTAGTAATGGTGCTGATCCAAGAATTGGTTTCCATGGCAGGCGCACCTCTTCTGGCCTGCGCCATTCCCACCTGCAATGCCGGGTTTTCTCAGCCTGTCATTTTTGGTGTCACACTAGGCTGTGGTGTTCATTGCTCTGGCAGAGGGAAGTCTAGAGTTGTGGAGTGGGGACAGGTGAGGAAGGAGGAGAGAGGAGAGTAATGCTTCAGTGAGCAAAAGCTCTGGAAAGGTGCACACTGAGTCCTCTTTATATTTGTGGCCTTTTGATGACATAAATAGCTGTTCAGTCAGTAACACCGTGTGTTTTTATTTGTCTCTGCAGACATTTTGCTGTCAGCTGGAAGAGCTGATCTGCTGGCTGTATAATGTCGCAGACGTTACTGACCACAGGACTACAGCCAAGTCCAATCTTACAGGTCTCAAGTCTTCTCTGCAGCTTTACCGGGTAATACGCAGTCCTGGCTCACTTGTTCCCTCATGAGAGTGGTGGCTAAATTACTTGATTACAAAGTAAAATCGCAAATAACCAGTGTCTGTTATGTTACAGCTCAGTTGACTGTTACACCTGAAATCTCATTAAAGCTTCATGTTCTTCAAGCAGAACACTTTGTAAAATGCATGAATTATTTCCCAGGCCAAATAGAGCTTGAAGATACAGTATATTTATCTCAAATGAAAAACACTTCAGTTTTGGGCTGGCAGGTGCAGTGGCACAAGTCTCTTATATCCCAGCTACTCTGGAAGCTGAGGCAGGAAGATTGCTTGAGCCCAGGAGTTTGAGAACACCCTGGGCAACATAGCAAGACCCCCCCAATCTCCAAAAAAATTTTAATTAAAAATAGAAACAAAAATATTGCAGGATGATTTGCAGTATAATTTTCCAAATGTCTCAGGGATTATAAGGACAGACTTGCACTATTAGGAAGCCTCTAGGTATATGTGGCTACTGAAGTAAAATTAAAGACTCAGATTTTTTATTTGTACTGACCACATTCTGCATCACATTTGTCTAGTGTCTACCACATTGAACAGTGCAGATACAGAACACTTCCATCATCACATAAAGTTCTGTTAAAGATCTAAGCTGAAATTCTACTGACTCCAGAATCTACAATAGAGCATTTTGATGAATTTAAATAGAAATCTAGGCCAGGCACTGTGGCTGACACTGTTAATCCCAGCACTTTGGGATGCTGAGGTAGGAGCATCGCTTGAGCCTGGGAGTTCCAGATCAGCCTGGGCAATATAGTGAGACCTTGTCTCTAAAAAAAACCATAAATTAGCTGAGTGTGGGGGCATGCACCAATGGGAGGATCATTGGAACCCAGCAGGCGGAAGCTACAGTGAGCCAAGGTGTACTCCCCTGGGCAGCAGAATGACACTGTCTCAAAAAAAAAAAAAAAATCTGATGTTAGTTTGCATGTGTGTGCGTGTCTATTTTGGTATGGTTTTAGTTTTCTTGTCTCTTTTTCATTAAGGTTTTGTTATTGTGAAAATACTTCTATGGATTTTTGTTAACTTGGTCCTAGATTTAGGATGGCTCTGTGTCCCAGTTTGTGCCTGTTGTTCTGGCATAATAAGTACCCTTTCAGTCTCAGAAGTATCCTGAATTGGAGGATAAATTATATAGTTGTCATCTCTAAGTCTGATGTTAACCGTGTCTGAACTCCTCTCTTCTAGCATGTCTGGTTGGCTGCACCTTTCTAATCTCTTCATGAAGCAGCAGAGGGATATCCATGATCTGAGCCTGAGGCTAGTCTGGAAGGAGCTTTCTAGAACAATTCTTTGAATTTCTACAACCCTGTAACTTGACCATATCTTCTGCAGCAGCAGACGTGATTTACATATGCATGGGCCAGGGCTGAGCTGACTCAGGGCCTTGCTGGAACCCTACTCCAGCTTAGAGGGAGGGAGGGCTTTGTTTTCCAGCTTTGGGCCAACTAAAGTTTAGAGGAGGAGCCTTGCTTGACCTGGGCAGGCTGGGTCAGCTGCTCCACCCTCGTGGGAATGCTGTTTCCTGCAGGGTGGAGAGAGGTTGCTGTGAGTCCCTCACTCTTAGGAACTCCATGCTGAGTTCCTCTCCACCCTTCAGGAAACAGCATTCCTACTCGGGTGGAGTGAGCTTGAGGAAGGAGAGAAAGGCTAACTCCGAGGGTCCTGTATGCAGACTCCATGTGCATGTACACAGCTGTGCTGGGCCCAGGACCAGTAGCACTACAAGGAGAGGAAGCTGCCCTGGTAGACATAGCTAACTGGCTTTTCCTGGCCTGTTGGAGCAGGTACAGAATAACTCCATTCCCTCCATCTTATCCCTCCTGCCGTCCTTCTGTATCTCAGCTTCCAGGCTAGACAGAAACAACCATCTTGCTTTGTAAGCAGAGCTGAGATTTGAGCTGGGAGTCACTCCTGCAGGTCAGTGAGGCATAGGCCTTTGTGTCACCCATACAACTGTCACAAAGGGAATTGTGCACGGCTCATGCGTATGTATGTGCTACCTTAACTTCTGCTTGGATTAAGACCTAGTATAAGTGTACGTGTGTTTGTGTTCACATTTTTTTTTTTGAGACAGAGTCTCGCTCTGTCGCCAGGCTGGAGTGCGTGGCACGATCTCGGCTCACTGCAACCTCTGCCTCCCAGGTTCAAGAGATTCTCCTGCCTCAACCTTCCAAGTAGCTGGGATTACAGGCGCATGCCACCACGCCCAGCTGATTTTTGTATTTTTAGTAGAGATGGGGTTTCACCATATTGGCCAGGATGGTCTCTGTCTCTTGACCTCGTGATCTGCCCACCTTAGCCTCCCAAAGTTCTGGGAGGTGTGAGCCACCAGGCCTGGCCACATATTCACGTATCTTAACTGTGACTCATTTTCTTACATAGTTGTGTTTTGTCTTAACACTGTGAGGTTGCAGCAGCACATAAACCACACTAGAGTACCAGAGAAGAAAATAATAAGTATAGGTATCAGGGTAAAGGAAAACCGAAGACAGGAAAATAGTCAATCCAAGAGTAAAACCGTCACTTCAAAATGGTAAAACACCAAATTCTGGCGGGACATGGTGGCTCATACCTCTAATTCCAGTACTTTGGGAGGCCGAGGCAGGTGCATCGCTTGAGTTCAGGGGTTTGAGACCAGCCTAGGCAAAATAGTGAGACGCTTCTCTATTTCTATTAAAAATTTTTTTAAATTTTAAAAATCAATCACTGAGTTCTGGGCCCTGCACTAAAAGGTGGTCATGGATTTGACTTTACACTTCTTAACTGCTAAAGGAACATCAAGAACACCAGCTTGGTAGCCACAAGGAGAAAACGGATGAGTTGCTTGGGAAACTTACAGCTTCCCAGATGTTGAGGTAGTTACCCTGATGGCCTGCATAGAGAAAGGACAAGGAGGGAGGAGCAGAGGTGGAGGCAGTGGCTCTCTACAGTCAGTTTAATGGAAGATCTCTTGTGGTTCCGACTTACCAGGTCCATTAGAATGGAATAAATTTTGAGGCTCCCATATCCCTGTGAGTTAGAGAACCCCATGAGGTGAGGATACTGGAAGGAGACCCTAACTCCAAGCTGTTTGTGAGTCAGCCTCTGCTAGAGAAGACACTTCTGATGTCAAACTAAACAGGAAAAACTATTGACTCCATTTAGCCTGGGCTCAAAGAAGCTGAAGTGAAACTATTGCACTGTTTACTTGGGGAATTCTGCAGACCTGTGGGGGTGAATCTTAATACATTAGAGGGAATCAGGCTACCTTGCATGCTGTTCTTTTTGAATTACTTTCACAAAACAATAGTAACGAAGCTTCTTCCTTTTCTTTTTCCAATATGCCTTAAGCAATTTAAGAAAGATATAGATGAACATCAGTCTCTGACGGAGAGTGTCTTACAGAAGGGGGAGATTCTTCTTCAGTGCCTGTTGGAGAATACCCCAGGTGAGATGCTTAAGGTTTTGGATTTAGCTAGAGCTTAATCCCTGTCAGCAGCAGGCCCAGGGACCACACTGTCCCTGGTAAGGAGCTGGTACTGCAAGAGCCCCTGCCCACACCCACTGCTTGAGATGCCCCATGCCCCACCGTCTGCCAGCTCCACGCATCGCTGCCTATCGCTGCCCCTGCACACCAGCTTAGAGGCAGTAATGGTCATAAAACCAAGCTCATTAGCAGTTAGGCATTGAGCGTGCAAGAATGACACTGTCTTTTGCTTCTGCTTTTGCATTTTTCTGGAGGTGGTCTGGGTAGGAATCCTGGCTTTATTCCACCAGCCCTTAGTTTGAGGCTAGGGTATTCAGCGGGTATCCCTCGGGTTCCCCACTTTACCTACCCCAAGTGGAATTCCTCTGTGGTTATCTGCCTTGTGACTTGCTTTGGGGAAAGATTTGTTTCAGAAAAGGATTGTATTGCTCAAAAGTATTTGAGGACAGTCTGTCCTCAGGGAACAGACTGAATAAAGAACCGAGGAGAGGGAACAGTGTGGCAATAGTGTGCAAACCAAGCTCAAGCCCCCTCCTATCCCTTTTTTTGAGATGGAGTTTCGCTCTTGTTACCCAGGCTGGGGTGCAAATGGCATGATCTTGGCTCGCTACAACCTCTGCCTCCTGGGTTCAAGTGATTCTCCTGCCTCAACCTCCGAAGTAGCTGGGATTACAGGCATGCACCACCACACCTAATTTCGTATTTTCAGTAGAGATGGGGTTTTTCCACGTTAATCAGGCTCGAACTCCTGACCTCAGGTGATCTGCCCGCCTTGGCCTCCCAAAGTGCTGAGATTACAGGTGTGAGCCACCATACCGGCCACGTGAGCCCATTTTGTACGATGGTTTCCCCATTTAGGAAAGCAAAAATCATAGACCTCAGGCATGTATCTAAGCATGCTGTGTGCCAAGGATTTACAGTTCTCATTGTCTTTACAAGACAAGGGCATGGGGGATGAGGATATACAATGGAGGATGAGCTAAGAGAATGGTAGGGTAAAGCCTATAACTGATGGCAGCCCCGAATTTCCTGCGAGACTGTCAATCAAGTGCTGACAGAGCCTGCCTATATTATGCCTCATTTTATGTTCTCAAGTGAGATGGGATTTATACTGGAATCCAACCACAGAAGCAAAGCTAGGCAGGTCCCACGGGCTTGAGGGGCCGTGAGGAAGCGCTTTCCTGACCAGTGTGGTGGGCAGGTGCATACCGAGGACAGGGTGTACGGCAGGATTTCTCAGCCTTGGCACTTTTGCCATATTGGCCGCGTGATTTTGTCCTTTGCGTCGCAGGATGTTTAGCAGCACACCTGGCCCCACTAGATGCCTGTAAATTCCTGCTTCCCCCACAGCTGTGACAACCCAGAATGTTTCCACACATTGCTAAGTGTACCCTGGGAAGAAAAATCTAGGGTTGAGAGGCGTCAGTGGACAGGGGCCACTGAGGAGTTTTCAGCAGGTAAGTGATTCTCTGGTGTGAATTATGTGAGCCCTTTGCAGACCCTACCCTCTTAAGGCCTCTGTTTTGGCTTTTTTGGCATTTTCACTAAGATTTTTATATTTTTTTATTGGGGCAGAAATTCCACGTGCCAGGATTGCTACATGTCATCTACACCAGCATTTTACTGAAGCAGTTGGCATATCAATGTTTCCGTTTACTCACAGCCTGTGAGACAGATAGAGTTGTAGATTTGCCTCAGGCCACAGAAGTGGCAGCCTGGCAGAGCTCCTGCGCACTGGCTTTCCACAGCTTCCCAGTGTCTGGAGGTGCAGAGGCCTGAGCAGGAAGGGAAAGGGCTGAAATGCCAGGAACCTCCCCTCCTCACGGAGGCCACATGTAAAAGTAGGCCTCTTAAAAGCTTCAGGTTTTACCTTCATTTTAAAATCAATTTAGTAATACTTTTCTGTGCTTAATCTGTAATAAGAACATCCTTCGTTGCCCTTCTCTCAAAGGGATCTAAAGTTATTTTACTGGCTTTGGGGTTTTCTTTGGTTTTAGGTACGTATCCAGGCTCTTTCAGATTGACACACTACCCTTCCCCGTCTGCTTGAAATAATCAGGAATGTGGCTATTTTCCCCTTGAGACTTCAGTGTCACTCTCTAGTGGGTGCAAAACTTACCTTTCTTCCGCCAGGAGCACGCTGTCAAAGTCCATAGAGCCAGCATACAAACGCGTATTCCATTCCTTCCCAACTTCTTTTACTTGGCCCCAACCGAACATTCTAACAGTCTAAATAAAATTTCAGAAACAGCCAGGCACAATGGCTCACGCCTATAATCCCAGCACTTTGGGAGGCTGATGCAAGCAGATTACCTGATGGTTGGTAGTTTTAGACCAGCCTGGCCAACATGGCAAAACCCCACCTCTACATAAAGTACAAAAATTAGCTGGACATGGTGGTAGATGCCTGTAATTCCAGCTACTCAGGACTGAGGCAGGAGAATTGCTTGAACATGGGAGGTGGAGTTTGCAGTGAGCTGAGATCGCACCACTGCACTATAGCTTCAGTGACAGAATAAGACTCTGTCTCAAAAAAAAAAAGAAACTGGAGGGGTAGAACCCAGCCCAGCCACCAAGTTTTACCACACACTCTGGCTGTATTCCTCTGCCACGCCTCGCCACCTCTGTGGACAGCACTTTGCCCTGATGACACCACACTGATGTGGCTTCCCTAGAAGATCTCAGTACAGCCAGCCTGCGTTCCTTCCCACCATCCAGTCAGCACTGCCTGCAGATAGGCAGCTTCCCCTTTCCCTTCCTCTGCTGACAGATATTGCAGCTGTGGCAGGAAACTAAGGAGTATTAGCACAGCTGATAAAAGCACAGGAAACTAAGGCAGCCTTTGTGCTTAACAAAAATAAATTTTTGAAAAGAGAATAAAGCCTGCTGTGTGTGATGCACTCTGACCCTAGCCCATCCCTTCCTCATATGAACACTTCTGACACTGGAGTGAATCTTCCCTTAACCGACTCTCATGTCATTTTATTATTTTTTGTATTTTGAGATGGAATTTCGCTCTTGTTGCCCAGGCTGAAGTGCAATGTTGTGATCTCAGCTCACCGCAACCTCTGCCTCCCGGGTTCAAGTTATTCTCCTGCCTCAGCCTTCCAAGTAGCTGGGATTACAGGCATGCTCCACCATGCCCAGCTAATTTTGTATTTTTAGTAGAGACGGGGTTTCTCCATGTTGGTTTTGAACTCCTGAACTCAGGTGATCTGCCTGCCTCGGCCTCTTGAAGTATTGGAATTTCAGGCATGAGCTGCTGTGCACGACCAGGTCATTTTCTTTTTCAGTCTGTTCACTAAAGCTCTACAAAAAAAGGGTCCTAAGCATTCCCAAAACTATTACCAGACCACCCACCTGAAATGACATTCCTCCCAACCAATAGAAATGGATAGGACCTGGTAGCAGGATAAGCATCTGAACCTTGGCGTGTCATTTTATCTCATTTAAGCCTTATGCCCAAGACAGGACCTGTCTTACCTCTTAAGTCAGGTAATACCAGCCATTCAGAGAACCGTATCTTTGCCTCTCTGTGAATCATGTAATTCCAAAGTGGAGTCGGTGAATTATTTTCTCAGCTTTAATCAGGAGTTAACAACAGATTCTCCAGTGCAACAGAAGTCCCTGGAAAATCACTGTTAAGGGTAGACATTCAGAAACTACTGCCAGGTCCTACTTTGTGCAAAATACTATACCCTTGTATGTTCTTTCAAAAATGCTTACTGGACAACACTTGCATGGGTTTTGTTTTTGGTTTAATTTCTTTGACCCTCATTGTTAGTTTTAGAGGATGTCCTTGGGAGGATCGCAAAGCAGTCTGGTGAGCTGGAGAGCCACGCAGATCGCCTGTATGACTCTATCTTGGCCTCTCTGGACATGCTGGCTGGCTGCACCCTCATCCCTCACAAAAAACCCATGGCAGCAATGGAGCACCCATGTGAAGGGGTTTAACCTGGTAAGTGAGGAACTCAAGAAGAAAATACCCACCAAGCCTGCTGTAACAGTTGGCCACTACTTAGAAGCTTCTTGAGCCAAGAACTATTATTGAAGCAAATGACATACTGGAAGAAAACAGCCAGTGGTACTAAAAAAGGAGTTGCTGGTCTTCCTATGGTGATGAAGGCTCACTGTGGGATGCTTTCCATTACTGTTCACTCCTGCTGCCTGTGGAGGATGAGGGTGCTTCTGTGCTGCCATTTCTATGGCACACTCTTCACCACCACTCCTGCCACCCCAAGGCAAGAGCAGCACAACTTATCTATATACCTACTTTATTTCTGCACAGGTACACTTTTCCAATATGGGGCCATGACCTGGCAGCCCCTATTCTGCAAGATCTCCCCAGCTCATTTGGTACTCCATCTCCAAGCATCTCTGACAGCACCAAGTCCCCAGAGAAACCCAGAGTTACTGCTAATTTTGTACCACCACCCCTGCCCCACACAAAGTGTCTCCACCTATCTCCCATACCACTTCTTTCCAGAAAGGCTAGGGGGATGGAGGGGTTAACACACCTTGGAAACTTAACAGGTAGTACAGCTTTCTTTTGCTCCCTTGAGAAAGTCAAACAGAATGACAGAAAAGAAAAGGCTAAGATAGCAAGGATGGGTAGTGTCCACTACAGAGTTGCCACTGCCAGTGTTTTTCGTAATTTCACAATTAGACTGTACTTTCCCTGAAACATCCTGTCCTACAGCAAAAGGTTTGTAGTGCTTAACTTGTAGATTTTTTAGGTAAGCACTAGAAGTATGTTAAGAGCAGGGAGTCCCTGTATTTTATTAGAGCAACTCTGAGTAGTCATCTTGGTTCTAAAATGAAGTTGTCGTTTCTTTCTCTACAACATTATACCTGTTATAGATGCTGCTTTTTCCCTTTCAGGCATCCTCTCGGGCAAATGCAAATGCAACCTGTCAGCCAAACATAGGCCGGTGAGAAAAAAAAACTTCAAGTCCTTGCAAGACATTCAACACTGAAGTCAAGGGGGAAAACTTCAATATACTAGCTTTAAAATGCCTTTCTCCTCCCTGAATGGAGGGCTGTTGATTTACTATTTTTATTTACAATGAATCCTTCCAAACTAAGGTTTTCCTTTTGGTGCTTCTCCACAAAGAGTGTGTAGCTTTGCAATTTTTGATAAAATAAGACATCTTGCCTTCCCCTCTATCCCATTAAAAAACAGCAGACAAAGCTCAAACTATTCCACCTGGTAAGATCATTTACTAAGGGCTGGTGGAAGGTTCTGAATACTCGATATTCTCAGGCATGCAAGAGGACCCAAGGGACTGAAAAAAGCGAATGGCTGGCCAGAAACCTTGGGTCTTTTCATAAAAGGAAATTTGGGCTTGTCAATCGTCTTTGAAGATTTAGGTAGAAAGAAGACTTTAACCCTTTGTCTGCAAAAGAAAAAGGGTTAAATGACTAACACCCTCTGCAGATTACTTTGGGAGACTATGACACCTTTTGCCATCTTCAGGGCTGATGTCTTTGCTTTCCTGGCTAACCAGTTTTTGATAAGAAAACGTGTCAGGGACTTGGGGATCTGCAACCATGCTTTAGCATGGCTGTGGAGCTAATTATCAAGCTTAAGGCACCTTTGGGAGGACTCATCCTTTCACACCTAGTCTCCCTTGGAAGAGCAGTTCAGGCTCAGGGAAGGGAATGGATAGGATGACACAGTACAGTACAGAAACTAAAGCTGTCAATAGTGAAGAAATTGGGAATTCTTTGTTGTTTTGGCACTGACTGGTAAGTACTTTGATAGAAAAAACTTCATCAACCATTCGAAGTGTCAATTCTATTGCTTTTTGAAGAAAAATGATCTATTGCTGGTAAAACTGCAGAGTCTACAGAAAAGCACTTTTAAAGTTCTGTTTGGGCTATGAATGAACCTAGAAGGAGGAAAGCACAATATAACAATGGAAACTAAAGTCCTAATACTAATGTGACTTTTTTTGCTTCAGAATTTCTCAGACTTCATAGTCACTGGAAAATAGCCATTAAATTCTTTAAGGATTAGCTCTTCAACAGTAGCTGCACATAAAATGCATTATTTCAAGTGCCTGATGCTGCTATGGCATGCTTTATCATAAATAATGCTTAAGGGCATGACCAAAATTAAAATGTCTTATGACTGCCATATTAAACTTAGTTCCATACACAGTGAGACTTTAAAAGAGAAAAACCACTCTAGCAAATAATTGTCCATTACAAACCTGTATGTAAAGCATTCTTAAAAACCTAGAATTGGTTAAAAAGGCAGAGATGTCTAACAGCCTCTTAAATTGATAAGTTTCACCTTCTCTTTGATGTATCTTTATAAATAGGAACATGCACTTCCACTAAGTATGTTACTGAATAGCCCTTATGAAATTAAACCCACTTATTTACTGGTATTTGACAGGCATGAGTGTATTAGTTAGCATAAAAGTTGGAGATGAAAACCCTACAGAAAGAAACTGGCCAGTATTAAACTAACTGAATGCAGAATGTGGCATTGTATTCCCATTCAACCAATAATCAGCTTCAACTGACAGGCATTTTCACACAATGTTAGACAGTACCCTGTTTCCCAAGAAAGTGTTACTTACCTAGAGATGCTGTAAGGTATTTTTGTTCCTCTGAATAAGGTGTGACTAAAGGGTGCTAGTTCTGGACCTGGCTGTGAATGCCGCTGAAGAGTATCAACACAACTGTTAATTATACAGCTGTGCTTTAAGACTTCCCTTAAAACTCAGGCTGAAATTGTTTCTACCTAGTAAGAAACATGGCCAGGTTAGAGTCAAGTAGCTGAGCTTGCTAATTGCATTGTGGTGCCACACTGGAATAATTTAGTAGTCCCTTAAAATTAATCGAAGTTGAATCCATAGCGAAGTGATGATATTCAAAGCTGGATCGGCCGTTTCAAGATCTGGGTTCTTGGAGATCCGTGGGTAAGCTCAGCAAATGGAAGATGATGTCAATACAGGGCTATTTTGAAGCTTAGGTGGGAACGGGACACAAGGTTTGACGTACAATATGCTGGAAAGGCAAGATATAAGCTAAGGAAAATTCAATCCAAGGTCAAAGAAAAGGAAATTACCTTTTGGACCATAATGACTATCATTCTGAAAGGATTTCCCAGAGTTTGCAGCTGCTTAGATTTAGAACACTCTTCACTATGTAAACTAATTTATGGCAGCACCTTATAAGAAGTGATAATTCCCCTTACTAAGTGAACAGATTATTAAAGCCTATAGTAGCCTTGAACTGTTTGTACTTGAAAATGGGAGTATAAAAGGGGAATATATTTTTTCCAAAACTGTGTTTATTGGCAAATTGTGAGGCATGTTGAAATATGTTGTTGTAAATCCCAATCTTTTTTTTTTTTTTTTTTGAGACGGAGTTTCGCTCTTGTTACCCAGGCTGGAGTGCAATGGCATGATCTCCACTCACCGCAACCTCCGCCTCCTGGGTTCAAGCAATTCTCCTGCCTCAGCCTCTGAGTAGCCGGGACTACAGGCGCGCACCACCATGCCCAGCTAATTTTTGTATTTTTAGTAGAGACGGGGTTTCACCATGTTGACCAGGATGGTCTCAATCTCTTGACCTCGTGATCCACCCACCTCGGCCTCCCAAAGTGCTGGGATTATAGGCGTGAGCCACCACACCTGGCCATAAATCCCAATCTTTACTGCCATGGGGGAAAGGATGCTGGAATTTTCCAAACTAAGTCTGTAAATAATACTCATCTTAAGTTCATGTAATGTTTCCGCTAACTCACAAAGAATAAGCTGACGATTTAAACAAATTTTACTGTATAAAACTGAAGTGCATGGTATGGCATCAAAATATCTTGACATTTGTTGTGTGTCATTTAGCTACTTTAGAAAATAGTTTCTGAACTCTTTCCCCCTTTATACTGTATTAAGGCAAAAACAAAACTTTTGAAGCATCAAAGATCTTCACCAAAATAACTTGGTAACTTCAGGAATTTGTCAGTTGCCTTATGTGAGGATGAATAGATCCACCAAGCACGCCTATAATACAAAGTAAACTATGATTTTTATTGTGAAATTTTCATAGATGGAAAATTGAATATTTATTCTGTCCATTTCATTTTACAGTTATCTTACCACTTATTTTTGTACCATGTATTTCAATTGCCTGTTTAGTGAAAAATAAAAATTAAAAAACCTATTAATTTTTGGCTTGTTTTTAGCTTAAATTTTCTAATGAAATTAAGGAGCCCACAACGAAATGTGTTGCCAGCAGCCATATCCCAAGCCCCTCCCTGTGTGAAGAATGTTTTGGGTGCTACTTCGACCTAAGAAACAACCTTTGACTTCAGCCACCTTAAAATGCCAGTGTGGGCAGATTTTTCATTCCTCACAATTAAAAAACAAACCCCCTAGGATCTTGAAGGTCCTATTTAAGAAAATCTTCATACATGCAGAATGTCACCAAAATATATTTCCCTCAATTATCATTACCATCCAGTATTCATGTTTTAATTTTTAGGGATATAATTTCTAAAATTAGAGCAATAAATTTCCTGCGTCCTATCTTAATGCTTAAACCCTCCTCCATCACCAAGTTAAGCAACTGTGGAGGATAAAACAGTGGAATCTGACTGAAAGCATGAAAGAAAAACATTAGCACATGTTAGTCTGATCATTTCCAATTAAGAAAGGTGTGCTGCTTTCCACCTCTACCATAGATGCATTCATGAAATATTGATCAATGAAGCCATTTCAAATTGTTTTAGAGAAGGATCAGAGAAAATGAGCTAGATAGCATACATTCTAAACTTGTTTTCCATACAGTTTGAGCTCCCTGAACCACTAAAGTTGGTTAAATCCCTACACAGCACAGAAGTCTAAGTCATTTTATTGGGTGTATTATCTAGAAAGCAAATACTGGATGCTGCTCTAGAATAGGTCTTGAATGCCTTAGTTGCACTGTGCACACACAAATGGCTGTGTTGAATATAATGCAAGGCTCTGTTTCTCTTTAACCATAAGAATTAAAACAATACTTATCACCATACAGTTTGATATTACTTCCAATAAGTACAATATTTATTAAACGTATCTTCAGTTGTTTTGTTACATAGTGTGCAACAAATTACAATATTCTGCAGCCACAAATTATATGCAGAGTATGAAGAAACTATTAATCAGATAGTGTAATCTTTCCATTTATAACTCTACAAGGAAGAACTAGCAAATCAGATCTTACATATAACATCTCACTAAACTTTATGCATGGAAAGTGACAGACACGGCTTGTGCTGTTTGATACAAAATGGCTGAACTTCATCTTCAGAAGACTAAACCTGACATCTAAACATGCCAATATAAACATCAAAACAAAATATATTCTAACCAACCACGGGAAACAGTCTGGTATCAGGAAAGCAACAAGGATTACACACATTATTTTATAAACCAGCACACAAAGGTTTAAAACAGTTCTGAAAATGAAGTTAGCTGTCTTGAGTCAAGGGAATAAAAAAAAAGTCAGTATTGACCATTTACAATCTCTGACCTTTGTGGAGACGTAAGAATCTGTTGTAGTGCAGCTACATACAGTACAATTCAGGCAATTTTGTTTTTTCACTTGGGTTCAGATTGCAAATTCATTGCTGTGAGAAAAGTACGGAGGCAAATTTTAGCAGCAACCTCCGCCTGACTGCTTGACTGGAGTGCTCTGAATTTTAACATTGGACTTCTCGGCACCACCAGCTGTTGCTCCAGGACCCATTCGCTTTTTAATCTCAGCTGCCATCGTCATGAAAGACTGTTCTACATTCGTTGCATTCTTAGCACTGGTTTCCAAAAATGGAATTCCAAGGGAATCAGCAAATTCCTAAGAGAATAATGAGGCACAATTAACACTGAAAGATCTTTTCCAGTAATTCTTAGTGCATTTCTACCATCCACAATGGAGCATGAGGGACTAAGTTCATTGGATCCAAACAGATGCTACACAAATTGTCACTGTCAGAATATTCTAGTGCACATATTTTTTAAAGTTAAGGTGGCTGTGGCCTCAGAATGATTGCATAACCCATACATAATTCAACACCTTCAAATTCAGTATGAAAATTAAACTTGAAACATACCTTTGCTGTTGTGTAGTCTACTACTTTCTTTGTGGTCAGATCACATTTGTTCCCTACCAACAATTTGTTGACATTTTCACTGGCATAACGATCTATTTCCTGCAGCCACTGTTTAACATTATTGAAGGACTCCTAAAAAGACATTTGAAAGTTTGATGATACAGTTCTGGAATAAACAGAAACATCCTTCCTGACCTAACAGACAAATAACAAAGAGCTAGTGAGACTACAAAATAACCACTCCTAAGGAGTGAAGGGATTTTTTTTTTTTTTTTTTTTTTTTGAGACAGTCTTGCTCTCTTACCTAGGCAGGAGTGCAGTGGCACACTCACTGCACCCTTCACCTCCCAAGCTCAAGCCATCCTCCCGCTTCAGCCCTCTGGATAGCTGGGACTATAGGTACATGCCACCATACCTGACTAATTTTTAATTTTTTTGTATAGACAGCATTTCACTATGTGGCCCAGGCTGGTCTCAAACTCCTGAGCTCCAACAGTCGGCCCACCTTGGCCTCACGAAGTGCTGAGTATACAGGTTTTAGCCACTGTGACTGGCCATAAACAGATACATTAAAATGACTATAAATATCTAAATGATGACAAACTAGAATTTACAGGCTAACGATGAAAATATCTTATTTGAAAGGGAAATACAACT